CACTACAAAGCATAACCACCAACACCATTTTTGTGAATGTCGTGTGGATAGTATTACAACGTTCAATGTGAATAAAGAAATATGAAGCACGTGGATTCTATAATTTATTATTTTTTTTAATCTTAATGATTTTTAAAGTGTTACACGTGCTTTCTTAAGTATGAGGTTATTTCAAGACTTCCAGGTGTGGGTTTAGACAAATCAAAAGTGCAACAAAATATATGTAATGAATAAAAGAATGTATAGCATTCCTTGAAAAGTATTGATTACACTTCATCTCAATGGGACTGGGGAGGGTGGCCATTTCCTCTTTTGTTCAAATACATGTATGCATATCAAATGTCCCATCCCTCGATGAATACATGTATTTGTTATTCATCTAGAAACAAGGATTATCTTCAAGATAAGGCGTCAAATAACTAGATCCTTGTCTGGAAAAATTATCATTTTTTTTAAATGTGATGTTTTTATTCAACATATATTTTCTTTTTTGTAACTTACCTTTTATTCAGTACAATGAACGATAGATACACGAATAAAAATAAACATACGCTTACAGACACATGCACGAGAACACACCTACATATTCAAACTGCGATACTTTATACAGATACACGCCCACGTTACACACCCATAAACATACACACACCCTCTCATATATGTAGTACATATGTACATGTTTCAAAACAAGGTTAAAATCACCGTAAATAATAACATGAGCATAGTTAAACTCATCAATAGTGTCAGAACTTTTTGTATAAAAAACTGGGCTATCTTGGTTTTGGTTTGGACCATAAATATTAAAAAGTGTTATATTTTAGCTCTGTTAAATTTCCCTAGTCTATGCGCAATGTTGATATCATTTTTCGTCAGGTTCACACTTAGTGTACTCGTAACGAAATCCGCCACTTTTCCTACGCATTCCTCAACATTATCAAATTTACTGTAAACAAAAAAGAACTGGGCTTGCTCGATAAGGAAGGAAACCCACCTATACATTATACAAAGACGAAATACTAGCTAATCATGCTTTGGTATTGCAATCAACCTCACCCGTTTATGCTGGATCCCTTAACTACAATTATCCATATAAACAACGTTTTGTAGCTGCTGACTCGTCTTACTGTTCAACCAAGACTTTCTCTTAACTACTAACCACCATTTTAAGTACTATCAAATCTGGGTTACAGTCTTATTGTGATATTGTTTACTCAAGAAGTGGAATAAATAACATGTGGATTTTGAAAAACTCCAAAGAGCGTTTTACCAATCTTCAACACCTTCTTCTAAAAAGTATGTCTCCTATAAGAACATTTGAATTTTCCTCCCTGTACTCAGGATACCCCATTCCAAATTGAAGGACGCCTTCTTTCTCTTGTTATGAGAGTTTTTCTTTCAAAGAAAGATGAACGGCGGTAAAAATACATGGTTTTGAATTACTGAAGCGTATTCCGTTAAAGTTATGTTCAAATCAAAGAAGAAATATACGGAGGACGAAATCATGAAAATGATCGAGTTTCTGGTTGACAACATCATCCTCAAGTTTGGTGGTAAGATCTTCCAACAGACTATCGGCATGCTTATGGAAACTAATTAATTGCACCCCTCTGTTGGCTGACTGTTTTTCGTGCGAGTGTGAAGAGCTAAACAAAACAAGTCACAAAGACCTTGCGAAGTCTTTTAATTTCACCTTTATATATATTGATGACGTCTTGTCTTTAATAACAAGAAATTTATTGACTAAGTCCATCGTATATATACATCAGAACTGGAAATTGTCATATCAGCTGCTTATTTCGATCTTTTTCTATAGCTTGACCAAAATGGACAGCTTTTCATCAAACTGTATGATAAATTTGATGATTTCAATTTCCCTATTGTGAATTTTCGATTTCTGGATAACAATATCCCTGCATCTTCAACCTATGGTATTTACATATCACAGTTGATTCGATATTTAAAGTCCTGTTACCAAAATCACGATTTTCATGCCAGAAGTCGTCAACTGGCAAATCGTAACACAAGGATTCAAAAGATGCAGACTGATGAAGATGATGGGGAAGTTTTATGGTTGCCATAGTGGTCTCATTGAGAAATATTCTATTTCTTTGTGTGACATGAAGCTAGACGTATTTGATGCTCGTTAGTTTGCCTGTTCTGTTGTTGTATACCTTGCTCTCATTTGAAAACGTGGCATTACCTACTTGGATTAAACAAGGTTTACATGGCGGGTGTCGTCAATGAAACAGAAGACGCATACTCTATCGGAACACCTGGTATTATTCTCCTTGTACTTTCTCTGGAGGCTCTGTGCAAATCTTTCTTTTGTTCATATTCCGCCCTAGTGTTATGGAATTTGAGTTTGAATTTTTATCATGTTGGTCCTTTCTTGATCTGTTTTCAACCTCTTCGTAAGTAAACTCATTTGTTACTAAATTTTCCTTGCATCATTCGAATTCCTTTCCACTGTTCTTCCTACGATATTTCGGAATACTGCTCTACTGATTGGAATTATTAAGAAAATAGATGTTTTTATAACACTCTGATAAGGCAATTCAGAAAGTTAACAGCGAATTTGGAAAAAGCAAAGAATAAGAAAAATTTCAGATATGAACTATCAAGGAAAGGAACATACCGAAAGGACAGGTAGTCATTCCTTACATCAAAGGCCTGTCCGAGATCGTACCGCGGTGTTGGTATTTAGACAGCCCCACAAGACTCTCCGAAAAGCCAATTGTCATTCTAAGGATAAAACATCACAGAATGTGTGAACAAAATTGGATGCAAAACCAGCGATGCAACGTATATCAGAGAATTGTGTAGGAGATTCGTAGTTCGGCTTGAGGAACGTGAAAAGGAGGCGAGATGACAAGCTGACAAAAAGTTGAATAGATTAGAGCGAAGGCATTTTCAGCCTCTCTCACAAAACTGGTACTTACAGATCATTCCACGCAGCAAAATCATATTATTTAGTCAGAAAAATCCAAAATAGTTGGGAAGGAAAATAATGTTTTCAGGTAGTTGGTCAAGATACGCCACAGCGGACCAGTATTAGACAGGGACGATGGGGAGGGGGATGGGGGTCACTGTAGTGTGCCGATTTGTTACAATAACATTTGTATCAAATTGGAACGAATTGACGGGATTTCTTACAACTTTTCTTTAACAATTTGGAATGCACTTGTCAATTTGTTACAATAATATTTATAACAATTTGGACGTACATCAACCCAAAGTTAGACGTATTTGTCTGTATATTGCATGTCAATTTCTTACAACTGTCTTTCTTTAACACATTGGAATGTACTTAACGGGATATCGTGAGTCAATTTGTTACAAATTATAACAAATATGGACGTACTGGAAGGGATATAGCGTGCCAATTTAATACATCAGCCTAATCTGTTACCAGTACTTTAGAACTATATTTGAAGGTAGATTGTATGATCTACTTGCGTATCAAATTGCTGCAACTATTTTTGTAACAAATCATAACAAATATTTTGCGAGTGTGCTTTTCAATCAACTTTGTAAACATAACTGCCATCATTATCATTGAAGAGTGGTGAAATATCTGAGTTTGATTCTTTATCGTCTATGTTATATTTTCATCAGCTTCACCCAAACCTGGTTCCTGACATTTTAACGTAAAGGATAAAATATTTTAGCTAGATATCCCCTGTCATTGCATCGATTAGCCAGGGGCACATAACCCGGACAAGGATTTAGTGCCCAGTCCATGATGTATGTAATAGTGACCAAGTTTTGGTATGTGTCTCAAACAATTTCTAAAAACTAATAATAAAATTCTTAAACCTTCAAATGGTCTGTAATCGAATGAAGGAATATGAGACCGAATTTCAAACTCGATTTTATACATGTATAAAAGTGTAGGAAAGATTACGCTTACTATCAATTTCCCCTGTATGTAGTTTGCAGGCGAATATGTTGGAATTCCTCAATAAATGAGACTGAGGGAAAAGGACTCGAATCCGTTTTTGATATTTTATAAGAAAGAAAAACAATAATTCCATTTAGATTTCTTGATTTACAAGGTGAAAGTATTCCAAAGGCCCATAACTCCGTCCAAACTGTTAATGTCGAAGGCGGGCGGCCCAAACTCGTTCTGTAGTTTGTTATGAGAAACACGTACAAACTAATTTTCGTTTACAAATTAATATATGAAAAATTTATGACCCTCCCTCAGTAATAACGGGACGTAGTTACATTCATAGAGCAATCCTTATACAAAGTTAACTAGGAAAATACATTCAAAGGGATACAGGTGTGAACACAGTTTCGTTAGTGTTATTTTAACGTTCCTCGCACCTAGTGTTCCAGATTTCAAATGCACTTTCGTTAGCTTGTTTTCACAAATATATATAGTATTCTATACTTATATCCACATAACTGATCGCTATGCTAATATATAGTTAATATCTGGTCGAATTTTCTTTTCGTATTAAACAAGTAACCCTTTATCAGTTTTAACTTTGTAACACGTTATAGCAAGGTACATTTAAAATGTGACAGGTGTCAGATGGAAAAGTATCAATACAGGGGTGTCAATATTTTAAGGGTCAGTAGTTTATGCTACACCGGCAAGCATCATCTTAAATCTAAAATATCCGCGCGTTGTAAATATGTTGTAATATAGTTCGTCTGGTGATGAAGGTTGTTTCTTTGATTTTCAGAACAAATATTGGATGAAAAAGCTCGCTGATTTTACAGGCATCCATTAAGTGATACGCTTATATTTAAAGATCAATAAATAATCTATTTTGCATGTGATTATTTAATAAGATATTCGTTCTCTTGTACGAAAAGGTGCGAAAAGCGCTTTATGTCCTGAGTCTTCCGCCGAATAATATTAGCATGTCTGGATGGAATTGCAACTTATCACGATAGTAAACACGTAGTGTCACAATAATAAGAAAAAAGCAAACTCTAGACAAGGTAGGAATGATTAAAGTGACACTGAGGCAGATTCAACACAGGACATGGATGATGGAAGTGGTAGTGAGGGAGATTCAAGACAAGACATGAATGATGGAAGTGATAGTAAGGGAGATTCAAGACAAGACTTGGATGATGGAAGTGATAGTAAGGGAGATTCAACACAGGACATGGATGATGGAAGTGATAGTAAGGGAGATTCAACACAGGACATGGATGATGGAAGTGATAGTAAGGTAGATTCAACACAGGACATGGATGATGAAAGTGGTAGTAAAGGAGATTCAAGACAAGACTTGGATGATGGAAGTGATAGTGAGGGAGATTCAACACAGGACATGGATGATGGAAGTGATAGTGAGGGAGATTCAACACAGGATATGGATGATGGAAGTGATAGTGAGGGAGATTCAACACAGAACATGGATGATGAAAGTGATAGTAAGGGAGATTCAACACAGGACATGGATGATGACAGTGATAGTAAGGGAGATTCAAGACAGAACATGGATGATGAAAGTGATAGTAAGGGAGATTCAAGACAAGACTTGGATGATGAAAGTGATAGTAAGGGAGATTCAAGACAGGACATGGGTGATGAAAGTGATAGTAAGGGAGATTCAACACAGGACATGGATGATGGAAGTGATAGTGAGAAAATTCAACACAGGACATGGATGATGGAAGTGACATTGAGGGAGATTCAACACAGGGCATGGATATTGCAAGTGGTAGTGAGGAAATTCAACACAGGGCATGGATGATGAAATTGACACTGAGGGAGTTGCTAGACAAGGTATGAATGAAGAAAGTGGGAGTGAGCGAGATGCTAGATAATGAGTTTTAGGGAAAGAAATAAAGGATTATAGTCCTCAGGGTCTGCATTGATGATTTTTCATCAGGAAAAGCAATCTTTGCCTTGTCAATAGATTTTTATGACGTAGTGAGACAAGTGGAAGAATACATATTCCTGGCAACCTGTTTCCTTCTACCCGTTTTTGCGATAGGAGAATTATTACACAATGCCAGGAGATATAGTGGTATTGTAATAGCCCTACTACAGTTTATACATAGTAGCCACTGGCACCATGTTTGACTTGAGTTGAATGGACGGGAAAACAGATGGTTTTCAATTCAATTCAAAAAGAAGAAAAAAATACCAACATATCAACAATGATGATCCAAACTCAAATTAACTAAAACTGAAAATATGAGTAAAAGAAAGATTTATACGGAGACGTATAAAAAAAACTAGAACAAGACCATGTATTCCAGAAGTGCAAGTGTCTTCGTGCTTCATCAACGACACCCGTCATGTAAAACCGGCTCAATCCTTTCTAACGAACATCAGACACGTTTATTTCATATCGCATAAAGACGTAAAATTTTTTCTGAGTAACTATGACGGCCACAAAATTCACCCATAATTTTCATCAACTTTCAACTTTTTACGATTTAGCCGAATACGATCATCATTATCTTCATTATTGAGATGTGAGTTATTGGGAAATATACCTGACGATTCCCTGAGAGTAGCGTCACTCAATGACGCACAAGAAAATCTTTGCAGCGGGTCGTCGTGTGTGGTTGTTTGCTTCTGTGAGTCTACGTCTATTTATTCTATAATATCCTGCAATTATTCCAGCATGCAATTAAAACAGGCAACTCAGTCTTGTTGGTGTTGCATGTGCTCGCGGGCGATATTTTGATAATTAAAATTAGTGTTTTCTTCCTCAAATTATCTATTGCTATCATTAACGTTACGAAATATTCGAAATTATGTCTTAACGAAGAAACCAAGATTATATTGGTCCACCTAAACATACCTCAGAAACTTCAGCTCTTATTTCCGGAAATGTCTACTAGATGTTTATATATCATTTATTGAAGTAGAAAATGTTGTTACGTAAAGGGTTTGGTAAGTAATGAACTGTCAAGCATCTTTCAATGTTTGAACAAACCGGTGCATTATATGGGTTCCAGTTAACATAGTATTGGATATTTATTTACTCGGGAGAGATATCATAACATTTATGAAGTATAATCTGCTGTTACAAATTAGCACGCAGAGACCTGCCGAGTAGGTCCCTAACAGTAACAATACCACGAGATCACATAATACAAAACAATATAATGTATGTCCTTCAGCACTCACAAACACCTGCCATAAATTTGAAAATTTGTCAACATGCTAACTAAATACGGAAACATATTGGAAACGTGTTCAAACATAATTTAAACAAGCTTGAATATCCCCGAATAACAAATATTTATTTATTTTTTGTAGGTCAAATCACTGACGACCTCAAATGACATTATATATCACAACTTCCTGATTCGTCGGCATGACATTTACCAGTGTATATATTTTACTGACATTTGTAAAACTAAACAAAATAAAACCCGTATCACTGAAATACAGACGAGTATGAGGAAGATATACCTGTGGTAAACATAGCGACTAGATACGTAGAAACATTGCATTTGTAAGTATCTGTTAAAGAATTTTTATTTCTATTCTTGAAATCGTATTAAAGCGAGAGAAAAATCTGAAGTTACATCGTTAGATTTAAGTTGTTTTGACAAGTATTCTAAACCAATTTGAAACTAAATCCGGTTGTATATAGAACATCAGTGACAAAAGGAAAATACCTTCATGTTAACATTATATTAAGTCAAGCTCAATTCGATTAAATTAGGGCAAAATACAAAGAAAACACTGATTTATATGCATACACCTAAAATGGACCAGTAGAATAAGATTACGTATTCCGCAAGGGTAAGCGTCTTCTTTTTATTGACGACAGTCGCCATGCAAATCTTGACCGATCCAAAGAAGTTATGATACGTTCCAAAATACAACGAAACCGTCAGGCATACTAACGGACATCAAATACGTCCAACTCCATATTCACATAAGTACATAGAATAATTCTTGTCGTTATAATGACAGTAATACTTTCCCGTGATTTAAGAACCCGCATCTCTCGAAATTGTGTTTTGTGAGTTTACATAAACAACAAGAAAATACCAACATGATAACAGAATCATAACCCGAAATTCAATTAAACAAAATATGAACGAAAGATTTACACAGAGATCCCTAAAGAAGTACAAGATTAAGACCATGTGTTCCGCAGAGTAAGCGTCTTCTACTTCATCGATGACATCATGTTAGTCTTTGTGAATCCAAGTAAGTAATGATCTTTTTTGAAAGGAGAACAAGGTATACAACAATGGCACCCACAACCAAACTAACAAGCATTATACACGTCAAGCTTTATATAGCGCAAAGAAATGGAACATTTCTCAAATATCAGTTGACGAAATTTAACACGAAAAGCGGGATATTGGGTGCAAGTCGTTGAATATTGAATCACCTGTACAACCTACAGTATATGTATCATAACACATAATCAAAAGTAAATAAGAACAACAAAAGAAAATCAGGTAAACAGAATGGTAACTCAAATCCTTAACACATCTTAGTAAATCTGGTGAATTAGGAATGGACTTCAGCTGGTGTTCCATTCAAAGATAGAGCCGAAATGGACATCACAACCAAGTTGAGTGCTTTGATCAGATGTGAATTTTATCAGTGATAAAGTAGTTTTAATCCTAGGAGGCTACTGAAAAAAGATCTAAGCCCCATAATTCAATAGATTTAGAATTTTTCATGTATCTGATAATCTAAGAACAACGCCAGATATATGTGTATATATTTAACAAAGAAAGGTCCTCGTCAGTGGCAGTCATACATTAATAACTGACACTTATCTGATAATCTAAGAACAACGCCAGATATATGTGTATATATTTAACAAAGAAAGGTCCTCGTCAGTGGCAGTCATACATTAATAACTGACACTTATCTGATAATCTAAGAACAACGCCAGATATATGTTATATATTTAACAAAGAAAGGTCCTCGTCAGTGGCAGTCATACATTAATAACTGACACTGATTTGTTCATATTTATTTTCATTAGAAATCCCCGAGAGAAGCACCAACACACAGAACATACATGTATAAATATTTGCATAAACAAGATGTCCTAACCATGCAGATTGCATGAACAAAGTTAGTCTTTCCTACATTATATGTGTATATATTTAACAAAGAAAGGTCCATTGTATGGCAGTATACATTAATAACTGAATATTATAGATAAAACAATATATTTTATATTTAACATAATGCTGGCAACATTAATAACTGACACTTAATATCATAACATACCAATATATGTTATATATTATACACGTGGCAAAATTATATCAAAAATGAGATTTTGCATTGATATAAGCATTGTATCATTATCGCATATTACTTTCTTTATAACTTAATAATGAATTATAGTCACACTCATGGCAGTCATACATTAATAAAAAAAAATCTTATATGTGTATATATTTAACAAAGAAAGGTCCTCGAGTGGCAGTCATACATTAATAACTGACACTTATCTAATCAAAACACCTGATATATGTGTATATATTTAACAAAGATTTTTTCATACATATAACTGACACTTATTTTTTTTGTCATAAAAGAGAAGTATATGTGACTGCCAGTTTTAACAGGTAAATGCAATTTATGATAATCATTTGAAAACAAGACAATATATATTTTATCCGTATAAATATATCTGAATCCCTAAAGTTCTATATGAATCTTTATACAATATATTATACAATATACAATATATTGAAGGTAAAAATATCGCACAGTTTTTGAAATCTTCTATTTCGTTCCGCTATATTTGGGAACGTCTTTACCAAGTCCTTTCGTCTTCCGAACAGTATGGCATACAGTGGCATTCTTACCGAACAATACCACACCAGTAATTAGTCTCCACACATGGTATATGTTAACGCATAGCTCTTGGTGAGGTAAGATGTTAGTGATGTGTACAAAATGTTTAAGGACACTCAACTGTCTTAAGAAATACTATAACCCTATAAAAACTAATTCCTGCTCATTGAAAGTATCCGTAACGTTTCAAGCGACGAGAACGACAAACATAAAAAATGCTATATCAGCTCAGACGATGTTTTGGAAACATTAATTACCAGATAACGACGATTTATGTTGAGCAGTTGTTATTGACAGAAATGTCAACTGTCTAGAGTTAGAGAGGTCAGAATGAAGCTTAATTTAGAAACAAAGAGTATTTTTGGATTATATCGTTAAGATAAATTTCTCTTCGGCTGTTACTATGGAAACAACATTGCGCCTTTTCCCTAGAAAGGCTAGAAAATCGATTGTTCGAAATATAGTATACTAATGAATGGAATATGTTAGTTTGAAAAACACACAGTATCGCAATAGACATGAGAGGCATATTTGTATGGATATGTGATGTGCACTGACATCTGTAAAGATATTGAATATCCGAGTAGACAAGATCACCTGCTGATTTTTTCCCCATTTTTTTTCTTTTTATTTATTTATTTATTTATTTATTTATCTGCTTGTTTTGTACTTTTATCAATCCTCGGTTCTGATTTTCCACTCTCGTCCAGACAGTGTGGAAATCTATCAAGGGAAACCCAAGAAAGTTATTTTAGGTGTTATTGTCTTTTCTGTCTTTTGAATCACTTTTCATGAGGTAGTCCCAGAGATTAATCCCTTTGTTCTCAAAAAATATTTCGCTCACTTACAATTTATATTTCTTACTGTAATCCTAGTTTCTATACGATCGAAAATAAAGACTTCTAAGTAAATCTGGATATTGTAATGTGTCATTAGCAACACCCAAAT